CACACCCCTGATGGAGAACCAGCTTAGGGCAGACTTAGAGCTGCCTTAGCAAAGGTTTAGGTTGGAAAGGCTGAGTATACCAAACCAACTACAAATCCAATTCTACACAACAGTTCTTTAAGTCAAAAAGAAGAAATGTCTAAGGATGGGGCAGGGGTTGGCAGTAGATATGCCTTTTGTGAAAGCGGAAAGTGAAAGTCACTCAGTCGTGTCTGACTCTTTGTGACCCTGTGGACAATACAGTCCATGGAATTCTCCACGCCAGAATACTGGAGTGGGTAGCCTTTCCCTTGTAGAGGGATCTTCCCAACCCAAGGATCGAACCCAGGTCTCCTCATTGCTGTCAGATTCCTTACCAGCTGAGCCACAAGGGATGTGAAAGCAGAAGACTTGGCCAAAGAGAATTGATGAGCAATAAAGCAAAGAAGTATAAAGGCCATGTATCCACATACCTATGGGGCAGGTGCATGGCAGATACATGGGGAGAAATTACCAAAGATTCTGGAGGCATTTTATAAGGCCTCCAAACCCAACGCCTTGCCTTATTTGTTACTACTGTGCATGAAAGGGCAACCATGTGGGGAGGGAGTCTCATGACCAGGATCTCATTTGTGTCACTGGATGTCTTGTGCCTTCTGTACTCCTTGTGGCTGATCCCAGGGCAATACTTCACTTATTCTTTACTAAGGAGCCAGTGCCCCCACTGCCCGTGCACCCAGGGGAACCAGAGATAATCACCAGCATACAGATATACTGGGTGTCAGCACATTGCTACATTGAAGAGCATGAACTTGGAATCCAGAGGTGCATAGAGAACTGATTCCAGATGAAATGTTCAGGATAAAGGAAAAGGCTTACCCTGGGAGTTTGGATAGTGGCAGGTGTGGTTCTGGAGCTGGATTTGTTAATTCCCTGACTCGAACTGCACGTCTGGCAGAACCTTCACCCTGCTCGGTGTTTCTGAAGTGCACAGAGTTCTCTCAGGGGTCAAACAGCATCAGCTGTACAGACCCAGGACATGAGCACCTCCAAAGTGGATCTAGAAAATGCAAAAGCAGATAGGTAATTAAGCCACTGAACCAGGGATTAGTTTGTCATACTCCCTTCCCCAAGTCTGGAATGCATGCCACTCTAAAACAGAAATGTTAGTTAAATCTCACTTATAATGTGGGAGTCACATTTATTTCTCCCTTCTGTTCCATTTTGAAATATTTCCACGGTAAGCTACTGACTTTCTGCTACTCCCTCTTGTCTCAGAGGAGTGGGGATGACCAGCTCCATGAGAAACTTTCTCTGCCCCCCACACACAAGTTTAGTAAGAGCAGCCACAAAAGACCCTGAATTGCCAAAGCAACCTTGAGAAAGAAGGGTATAGCCTCAGAAATCAGACTCCCTGATTTCAGATGACACTAGAAAGCTATGGTCATCAAACAGATATGGTACTGGCATGAAAACAGACACACACACTAGTAGAAAAGAAGAGGGAGCTCAAAATACAGCCTGGGGCACACGGTCAATTCATCTATGCCATAGGAGGCAAGGGTATATGACAGGGAAAAGACAGCCTGTTCAACAGGTGCTGTTGGAGAAACTGGAGAGCTACATGCAAAGGGATCAAACTGGACCCCTTTATCACACCAAAATGGATCAAATGTAAGGCCTGAAGCCATTAAACTCCTAGAATGAAACTTGGGCCATAAGCTCGTTGACATTGGGATTGGAAATGTTGTTTCTGGATTGAGACCCAAAGAATAAGCAATGAATCAAAAGTCCCAAGGATGTAATGTTAGGATAGGGAATACAGTCAATCATATTGTAGTAACTAACTCTGTATGGTAGCAGGAGGTAACTAGATTTGTCATGGGGATCATGGAGTAATGTATAAAAACAGAGAATCACTAAGTAGTGTACCTGAAAAAAAATATAATACTGTGCATCAGTTACAATTCAATGAAAGAGATTTAATAGCAGCAGCAGTGTGTGTGTGTGTGTGTGTGTGTGTGTGTGTGTGTGTGTGTGTACCAAACACAGGACCCATAGAGTTTGTATGTTTTCTTGTGCTTCTGAACTAACCAAGTGGGATTTCAGAGAGTCTGAAATGTGCAGAGATATATACAGGAGACCAGACATTGTAGATGCTCACTCTCAGTATGGTGGTATATGGGATTCCCACACAGTTCCCATGCATCCATATACACACACCTGCATGTGTTAGCTGGGGCTACCTTTCTTCCCTCAAGAGCACACTTGATCACCGTTTCCTGTGAATGCCTACTTTTCATGCCATTTTGCCAACTCTTTACAGCATAAATGCTCTGATGTTCAAAATTTTTGCTTACATAAATTTCAACCATTTAGCTGCATGCAATGCAGAAGATGCAGTTGTTGTCTCAGTCCCACTCTTCACACGCAGAAATACACTGTTAGTAGGTCCTCTTTCTCTGTGCACATTGTACAAACATGTATTAGCGTTCATCAGTAGCAAATGTTGTGTTCATGACAGGAGCTATCATTTCCCAAATAGAGCCACATGTGTACGACTTTGTTCACACATACTACTCATAGATCCAATATGAAGTAGATGATGGCCACACATACATACTTTGGGCATCATCAGCACAAACTTATTCCTGGTCGAGGTTTCGAGTCTTGTGCTCCAGGGAACTCTGTGTTCTGGCTGTCAGAGCACAGGTGTCATGTGATGACACAGAGGAAAAGGGAGAAGGAGAAACAGGTGACTGAGCTGCTGCAGTCTCCCTGCATCAGGACCTCCCGGCTCATCGCACAAAGTTGGGGATGGCTGAGTCACCTCAGCTTCAACCAGTGAGCTCCCCATACCACAAGGCACACATACATGCACCTAATGCTGGCAAAGAATGAAGACAAAAGGAGAAGAGGGCAGAAGAGGATGAGATGGTTAGATAGTACCACTGACTCAAGGGGCATGAATTTGAGCAGCCTCCAGGACATTGCAAAGGACAGAGAAGCCTTTCAGGCTGCAGTCCATGGGGTCAGAAAAAGTCAAACACGACTTAGCAACTGAAGAACAGCAACAAAATTAGACAGGCTAGATGGCAGTTCCTGGTAGGTCCCTCCCTTTCCTCAATGCTAAGAAGCTGTTGAAAACCTTCATCTGGTTGGTACACAGTGATATGAAAGTCCGGCTGGCTCTCTTCCTGTGAGTTGCATGCAGAGCAGCATGGTTTTGTCTTACTCTGGAGTCTCGGATCCAGGGTGGCCCTGGGGCTGTCTCTAACTAGGGGTCACCTCAGAAGACCTGACTTGGGGCATCCCTGTTTCTCACTCACCTCCCCCTGACATCCAGGTGTGTCATCCTCACACATCTCCCCTCTGCAGTTCTTTTCTAGTTGACCCTGAGTCCTTGGATCCCATCTGCACAAACATCCCTGGCCTCATGTGTCATGGCAGGTTGAAAGGTGGTCCTTAATGGGACCTGCATCCTAAGAGTATGTGTCTCAAGGGAAACAGAATCTCTTGTGCTTTCACTTACTCCATCCAAAACCCATTTGGTGACAATTCCTGTCCTCTACTGCCTATTCCATGAAGATGCTGTCTCTAATATTCCAATAGTCTGGTTGTTCATTCGTTCATTCACTCATTCATTCATTCATTGGATTATCTGCAGGGTAACTGTCTAAAAAGGAGACCAATACTCTGCATCTGATGTATTGATCCTTCCTGGTTTCCACAGAAAGCTAACAGCACAGAGAACATTGTGATGGCATTCTTGTTTCCATGACAACCAAGGTAGGCCACACTCCTGGAGGCAGAAACATTTCACAAGAAAACTGACTAGAGAGTTGGAGTAAACATAGAGACATGGACAGTGGTCAGTGTCTGCTCTCAATGTGAGTTGTGTGTGTGGGGTGGCGTGTGGTGCGTGGTGAGATCTTTACTTGGATATTAAGAGCACTGATCCCTCCTGATTTATAAGAGAGCATGGGAGCTCCTTCTTTTGTGGGGGGCTAAGATGCCCAAGTAACCTGTCATACCCCACCGCATGTCATGTCACACCTGTTGTGTGAGGGCATTGTCACCCGAGTCCCGGAAAGCAGGCATCCCCAAACACTTCTCATCCTACACCTTGGCTTCACAGTGGGTGTCTGTTGTGTGAGCTCTTAAAGATCTTCCGTTTGCTCATCATTTACACCTACTGAGAGCAAAGTGTTTTGATGTGTATGATATGCAGGAGAAAATTTGAAGTCAGCAAATGGAACAGATGAGCAGGATTGAAAGATTTAAGGTAACTTTGCATAGCCCAGGGGAGGACATCATCAGCTCCCTACCCTGAGTAGCTGACACAGGCAAACCAAGAAACATGTTCTCTAAAAGGCAGATTTCATTGTAGCATACCACTAATTATGGTTAGGTAAATTGGATTAAAAACAGTGAAGTGGCTCCTTTATTATGGAAGCATGAACACAAGCTCCTTCTTAAAAGGCTGGGGTAGGCTTTTTTTGTTTGCTTTTGGTCGTGGTATGTTTGGAAATGGATGCTGCTGATGTTACGTTTTTTGGGGTGTCTTCTTTGTTACTAGAGAAAACAGAGCATTTATAGGATATCGGTTCAGTTCACTCAGTCACGTCCGACTCTTTGCCACCCCATGGACTGCAGCACATCATGCTTCCCTGTCCATCACCAACTCCCGGAGCTTGCTCAAACTCATGTCCATCGAGTTGGTGATGCCATCCAATCATCNGTCCTCTGTCGTCCCCTTCTCCTCCTGCCTTCAATCTTTGCCAGCATCAGGGTCTTTCTAATGAGTCAGTTCTTTGCAGCAGCATTTACAGGATATACTGTTGCCATTTTCATCAAGGTAGGGAAGTGCTTTCAGGAGAAGCAGGCTCCAGGTAAAGGATGTCCACGCTTCTCAGCTTCAGTCCTGTGTGCTGCTGAGTCGTGCTGACATGGGGTTATGCCAACCCCATTTTCACTCTGCCATCTGGCTACCCGGGAGGGTTGGCCAGCAGGGTTGGTGGAGGGTGACAGGTGGTCTGGAAGCAAGACAACTGGCTGTACCTTCCTGTCTGTTCCTGCTCCTCTCAGGGTCACCCCCATGACTGCCCTTTTGCACAACAGAGACAGGGATGTGTGACTTCAGTAGGAGAAACTGGTCCATAATGTGGCTCACCTCCAAACTCCAAGGGCTGTCTCCATGGCTGCCCACAGAAAGACCAACATCAGCAAACTTGGGAACTCTCTCCTAAGGGGTATGGGCCCCAGGGTGGGTTGGTTGGAAGGACAGGGTAGAAGGGCCCCCCTCAGATCCTGACCCTATGGTGCAGGCTTATTGGTTTTTCCATCATCACTGGGAGGGGTCTTAGTTTCATGTACCCTTCCCCTGACCTCCTTAGGGACCTCACAGAGCTGGACAACCCTTTTCCTCAGAAGTCTGAGCCCAAGCTCTGAGGCCTCCTCTTCCAAGGTCATGGGTTCTAGGAGCTGACATATCTTCCAGAGTTTTTTACAGAAAGACCAGTGCCCCAATCTTCCTACCAGGGTGCCTTCCTTCTGGTCCTGTTGCTCCCCCTTTTTTTTTTTTTAGACTCCAGATAATTCTATCAAGTTCCCTCTAATGAAAATAATAAGTGGACCCTGCCTAATAGTCAGGTGAGCTGTGCTGTCTTTGTTTTTTAAGGTCTTTCCTTTTGCTTTGGTTTTGTAAAGCTTTACTGTTAGTGCTTGTGTGTGTATTTGCATGTCTCATGTGTGTGTGTGCACATGCATGTGTGTATGAGTGTGTATGAGTGTGTGTGTGTGTGTGTGTGTGTGTGTGTGTTTGAACGTATTATGCTTGCAGTTTAGCACATTGAGGTGACATTTTCCTCCACGTTGGAAATTTTCTATTTGTGAAATTGTCGGCTCTTTGCCCCTTCTGTATGCATGTTCTGTATCCCCTCTCTCACTTCAATTGAATATCTCTCGTGTGGCTAGGTGTACACACATTTTAAAAGTGAATATTTACCTTTCTGAATAAAAATGTACCTCAGAAGACCTGCCAAACATTTCAAATGTATCCTCGTTGCATTCTATGCAATGGTATGAAACTGTTTTCTACACTTGCTTTCTGTTTGTTCACATTTTCTAATATTTCCTATTCTTTTCCTATCTCCTCAGCATCTTTATAAAATTAAGATTTTGGTGCCTGTGGACATTTAAATGTGTGATCCCCGTACTGACTTATGAAGTGATTTGAAAAATAACGTCTTCCCTCACCACACACTTCCGTCCTTTTTCCTCTTCTCTTTCTGATGGAACCATGTCCTGACACATCTGTTTGCCCTTCTAGACTTTCACACTGCATTTACGTGTCTTTCATGTCCTCTGGTACGTTGTATAGCATCAGGCTTGTTGACTGGAGAAATAAAAGCCCTGTGCCATCATATTCTTGGGTCCCTCACCTAAGGCACAACTGGAATAGAACAAAAGGAGCACCGGGACCTGGGAACTTGAAGCTTGTGCATTTGAGGGCTTTACTTCTCCATGGTCTGAAATTGACAATGAAGTTCTGGCAGCAGGGTGGCTGTTAATACAGCATCTGGTCTGTTGCCCTTTGTGCACTCTGTGTCTGCAGGTACATTTGATTTGACTGTGAACTGAAACACTGGATGCATTTTCATTTTCCCAAGCCCTCTGAAAATTCAGGCTACTTTAAAGGTTAGTTCAAATTTCTATTGTTAACTCATAGTTCCCCCTGTGCATAAGGTGATCCATATTGACAAGTCATTATCTATCTATCTAGTTGTCATTTATCATCCATCTTACCTGTAAGAGTGTTGTACTCCAGTTAGTGCAAAATACGAAAAGAAAATTTTCTGCTTGTCTGTAAACCAAACTTGAATGGAACGTATTTGGGCAATGTGACAAAGCGTATGCTGGGAGAGACATTTAATGTGCAATATTTTCACCTAAGACCCTTCCCTTCTGATGGGCCCTTTTAAGGACCATTGCTGTAGTAATCAGAAAAAAACAACTACAGTTGACATCCTGGTTGTCCACTGGAAGCACTCAAAGAAGGTGTTTCATTCTTGAAAGAATGTACACGAAAGTAAACACAAGAGAATACTGAAGTAAGTCGTACAAATTTTAGAAACCTTTTAGTATACAGCACAGGTATAGCTAGAATAAAAATTCTATAGTCCTTGGACTGATATGCCTACAATAAATATTCTTAGGTGATTAGTTTAATGGTGCTGAATAGTTTTGCTGTTTTAGGACTGTGGGCATCATTTTAGATTTTCCCAAGTGTCCTTTTAAAATCACAAACTAGAAGGAGCTGAGGATAACATCTATCCTGGAAGCAGAATCATGTGCATGCATGTATCAAAGCAGAGAGCATGGATGATATGCAATAGGCACGTTTGATTTGACTGTGAACTGAAACATTGGATGCATTTTCATTTTCCCAAGCCCTCTGAAAATTCAGGCTACTTTAAAGGTTAGTTCAAATTTCTATTGTTAACTCATAGTTCCCCCTGTGCATAAGGTGATCCATATTGACAAGTCATTATCTATGTATCTAGTTGTCATTTATCATCCATCTTACCTGTAAGAGTATTGCACTCCAGTTAGTGCAAAATATGAAAATAAAATTTTCTGCATGTCTGTAAACCAAACTTGAATGGAACGTATTTGGGCAATGTGACAAAGCGTATGCTGGGAGAGACATTTAATGTGCAATATTTTCACCTAACACCCTTCCCTTCTGATGGCCCCTCTTAAGGAGCATTGCTGTAGTAATCAGAAAAAAACAACTACAGTTGGCATCCTGGTTGTCCACTGAAAGCACTCAAAGAGCCAAGATGGCGGAGGAATAGGACGGAGAGACCACTTTCTCTCCTACAAATTTATCGAAAGAACATTTGAACGCTGAGCAAATTTCACCAAACAACTTCTGATCGCTAGCAGAGGACATCAGGCCCCCAGAAAAGCAGCCCATTGTCTTCGAAGGGAGGTAGGACAAAATATAAATGATAAAAAGGGAGTCAAAAGAGCTACGGACGGAGACCCGTCCCGGGAAGGGAGTCTTAATAGAGGAAGTTTCCAATCACCAGGAAACCCTCTCACTGGCGGGACTGGGGGAAGTTTTCAGCACTCTAACTGGGAGGAAAAATTAAACAAGGCCCACAGATTACGTGCCTAAAAGCAACTCCCAGCAGATAAGTACCCCAAGACGCCCGTACCCGCCAGCAACAAGCGGGGGCGGAACGGAGAGGAGCGGGCGGCATTGCTTAGGATAAGGACCGGCCTGAAGACCCTGAGAGCAATCAGAGGGAGCTTTTTTAAACTGTGGGATAGCAAGGGACAAAATTAACTGGCCCGAACACACTGCCGGTGGTTCACAAAACAAAGGGACTGAGAATCTCCAGAGAAGAGCCGGCCCATCCCCGCTGGAGGTAGGAGGCAGGGGGGAGGGGAAAAGGGTTCATTCTTGAAAGAATGTACACAAAAGTACATACAAGAGAATACTGAAGCAAGTCGTACAATTTTTAGAAACTTTTTAGTATACAGCACAGGTATAGCTAGAATAAAAATTCTAGAGTCCTTGGACTGATATGCCTACAATAAGTATTCTTAGGTGATTAGTTTAATGGTGCTGAATAGTTTTACTATTTTAGGACTGTGAGCATCATTTTAGATTTTCCCAAGTGTCCTTTTAAAATCACAAACTAGAAGGAGCTGAGGATAACATCTATCCTGGAAGCAGAATCATGTGCATGCACGTATCAAAGCAGAGAGCATGGATGATATGCAACCATATCGGGTATCTTAGGTCTCTAATGTCATGCTGAGAGAGAGAAAGTGTGTGCAAGTGCATGTATGTGTGTCTTGTGGTATGGGGAGCTCACTGGATGGGGCTGAGGTGACTCAGCCATCCCCGAATTTGTGTGATGGGCTGGGAGGTCCCAATGCGGGGAGACTGCAGTGGCTCAGTCACCTGTTTCTCCTTCTCCCTTTTCCTCTGTGTTGTCACATGACACCTGTGCTCTGACAGCCAGAACCCAGAGTTCCCTGGAACACAAGACTCGAAACCTCGACCAGGAATAAGTTTGTGCTGATGATGCCCAGAGTATGTCTGTGTGATCTACTTCATATTAGATCTATGAGTAGTATGTGTGAACAAAGCCATACACACATGGCTCTATTAGGGAAATGATAGCTCCTGTCATGAACACAGCATTTGCTACTGATAATGGATGAGCTAAAATCTGTAGATGAACATTAATAAATGTTTGTACAATGTGCACAGAGAAGGAGGACCTACTAACAGTGTATTTCTGCGTGTGAAGAGTAGAACAAAAGGAGCACCGGGACCTGGGAACTTGAAGCTTGTGCATTTGAGGGCTTTACTTCTCCATGGTCTGAAATTGACAATGAAGTTCTGGCAGCAGGGTGGCTGTTAATACAGCATCTGGTCTGTTGCCCCTTGTGCACTCTGTGTCTGCAGGTACATTTGATTTGACTGTGAACTGAAACACTGGATGCATTTTCATTTTCCCAAGCCCTCTGAAAATTCAGGCTACTTTAAAGGTTAGTTCAAATTTCTATTGTTAACTCATAGTTCCCCCTGTGCATAAGGTGATCCATATTGACAAGTCATTATCTATCTATCTAGTTGTCATTTATCATCCATCTTACCTGTAAGAGTGTTGTACTCCAGTTAGTGCAAAATACGAAAAGAAAATTTTCTGCTTGTCTGTAAACCAAACTTGAATGGAACGTATTTGGGCAATGTGACAAAGCGTATGCTGGGAGAGACATTTAATGTGCAATATTTTCACCTAAGACCCTTCCCTTCTGATGGGCCCTTTTAAGGACCATTGCTGTAGTAATCAGAAAAAAACAACTACAGTTGACATCCTGGTTGTCCACTGGAAGCACTCAAAGAAGGTGTTTCATTCTTGAAAGAATGTACACGAAAGTAAACACAAGAGAATACTGAAGTAAGTCGTACAAATTTTAGAAACCTTTTAGTATACAGCACAGGTATAGCTAGAATAAAAATTCTATAGTCCTTGGACTGATATGCCTACAATAAATATTCTTAGGTGATTAGTTTAATGGTGCTGAATAGTTTTGCTGTTTTAGGACTGTGGGCATCATTTTAGATTTTCCCAAGTGTCCTTTTAAAATCACAAACTAGAAGGAGCTGAGGATAACATCTATCCTGGAAGCAGAATCATGTGCATGCATGTATCAAAGCAGAGAGCATGGATGATATGCAATCATATCGGGTATCTTAGGTCTCTAATGTCATGCTGAGAGAGAGAAAGTGTGTGTAAGTGCATGTATGTGTGTCTTGTGGTATGGGGAACTCACTGGTTGGGGCTGAGGTGACTCAGGCATCCCCGAATTTGTGTGATGGGCTGGGAGGTCCCAATGCAGGGAGACTGCAGTGGCTCAGTCACCTGTTTCTCCTCCCTTTTCCTCTGTGTCGTCACATGACACCTGTGCTCTGAGAACCAGAACACAGAGTTCCCTGGAACACAAGACTCGAAACTTCAACCAGGAATAAGTTTGTGCTGATGATGCCCAAAGTATGTCTGTGTGATCTACTTCATATTATATCTATGAGTAGTATGTGTGAACAAAGTCATACACACATGGCTCTATTAGGGAAATGATAGCTTCTGTCATGAACACAGCATTTGCTACTAATAATGGATGAGCTAAAGTCTGTAGATGAACATTAATAAATGTTCATACAATGTGCACAGAGAAGGAGGACCTACTAACAGTGTATTTCTGCGTGTGAAGAGAGACTGAGACAACAACTGTGTCTTCTGCATTGCATGCATCTAAATAGTTGAAATTTATGTAAGGAAATATTTTGAACATCAGGGAATCCATGCTTTAAGAGAGTTGGGAAAATGGCATGAAAAGTCGGCATTCACAGGAAACGGTGATCAAGTGTGCTCTTGAGGGAAGAAAGGTGGCCCCAGCTAACATGTGCAGGTGTGTGTATATGGATGCAAGGGAACTATGTGGGAATCCCATACACCACCCTTCTGAGAATGAGTATCTACACTGTTTTGTCATCGTCGTTGTTGTTCAGTCACTCAGTTGTGTCGGACTCTTTGCCATCCCATGGACTGCAGCATGCCAGGTTTCCCTGTCCTTCACCATCTCCTGGAGTTTGCTCAAACTCATATCCCTTGAGTCGGTGATGCCATCCAACCATCTCGTCCTCTGTTTTCCCCTTCTCCTCCTGCCTTCAATCTTTCCCAGCATCATGGTCTTCTCTAAAGAATTGGCTCTTTGCATCAGGTGGCCAAACTATTGCAGCCTCAGCTTCAGCACCAGTCCTTCCAATAAAGGATTTCCTTTAGGATTGACTAGTTTTGTCTCCTTGCAGTCCAAGGGACCCTCAGGAGTCTTCTCCAACATCATAGTTCTTTGGCATCTGTTGGCATAGTTGAAAAGCATCAGTTCCTTAGCACTCAGCCTTCTTTATGGTTCAACTCTCACATCCATATATGACTACAGGAAAAACAATATCTTTGACTAGACAGACCATTGTTGACAAAGCAATGCCTCTGCTTTATAATATGCTGTCTAGGTTGGTCATAGCTTTTCTTCCAAGGAGAAAGTGTCTTTAATTTTATGGCTGCAGTCACCATCTGCAGTGACATTGGTGCCCAGGAAAATAAAGTCTGTCACTATTTCCATTGTTTCCCCATCTATTTGCCATGATGTGATGGGACCAGATGCCATGATCTTTCTTTTTTGAATGTTGAGTTTTAAGCTGGCTTTTTCACTCTCTTCTTTCACTTTCACGAAGAGGCTCCTCAGTTCCTCTTCGTTTTCTGGCATAAGGGTGGTGTCATCTGCATATCTGACTGAGGTGATTGATATTTCTCCCAGCAATTTTGATTCTAGCTTGTGCTTCATCCAGCCCAATATTTTGCCAGATGTACTCCGCATACAGTGTCTGGTCTCTGCATATTTCAGAGTCTGTGAAAGTCCACTCAGTATTAGTTTAGAAGCCCCAGAAAACACACAAGCAAACACTATGGTTCCCATGTTTGGTACACATACACACACGCACCCACACCCATAAGCACATGCACACTGCTACTATTAAATATCCTTTATTGAATTATATGTGACACACAGTATTATATTCATTTCAGGTGCTGGACTTAGTAATTCTGTGTTTTATACATTACTCCATGATCCCCATGACAAATCTAGTTACCTCCTGCCACCATACAGAGTTATTACAATGTGGTTGACTGTATTTCCTATCCTGTACATTACATCTTTGGGACTTTTGATTCATTGCTTTTGCTTTTGGCCTCTATCCAGAAACATCACTGTCATTCCCAACGTCAAAGAGCTTATGGCTTGTGTTTCCTTCTAGTAGTTTTATCGTTTCAGGCCGTACAATTAATGCATTTTTGTGTAAGAAAATGGTTCAGTTTGATCCTTTTGCATGTAGCTGTCCAGTTTCTCCAACAGCACTTGTTGAACAGGCCATCTTTTCCCTGTCATGTGCCCTTGCCTCCTATGATGTAGATTAATTGACCATATGCACTGGGCTATGTTTCTAGGCTCCCTCTTCTGTTCCACTGGTCTGTGTGTCTCTTTTTGTGCCAATACCATATCTGTTTGATGACCGTAGCTTTGTAGTGTCATCTGAAATCATGGAGCCTGATTCCTGAGACTCTCCCCTTCTTTCTCAATTTATGGCAAGCTCAGCAGTAAATCTGTGCCCATCGCAAACTGACTTTGACCAGAGGCAGCTGCTTCTCAAGTTTCTAGCAGACCTGCCTAAGTTTATTTTGCTCTGTGTAACTAGGAGGGACTCTCCCTGACAGGCGCCAGCTGCTCCCCACCCCCCAACACAAGAGGCTGTTTGGAGCAGAGAGATGTCCAGAACTATGGTCCAGATTTGATGTCACCTAGGGTAAGTCACTCAAGCTTGTTTTGCATTACATTTGTTTGTTCTGTATTTGATAATACCTGCTGTGATAATCAGAGCTCTGTTCCATCCTATAGTCATCCTAGGGTATGAGAAAGATGATTTTTCTTTTAACACTGCATGGCCACTACCTTCTTTAGACTATAGTGAGGGGAAAAATTGGTTAAGATGAAACGTTTGAAATTCCAAAACTGGCTCTTCCTGCATATGCAGTTGGAAAAAAGTTGGTTTGATGAAAATATTTTTGTCAGAATTCAGACACTTAGAAAATAAACATATTTCCAGGAGAAAGCATGAAGTTAACTAAGTACATTTAACTTTCCCACACTGTTATTTTTGGCTTTGTGTTTGCTGGGTAAATTGCCATGACACCTGTGGTCATGATTCCCTGCCTTTCCATTTTCACATTGTTTGTTTTTAATAAGAGGAATCTTTGTTTGAAAAAGTAGAGGAAATTGTTGAACTTCACCCTTTTGTTTTTGCCCTGCAGTAATTAGGTTTTGTTCTTATTGTGTGTTTGTATTTGTCTTGTGTGTAAGTGTGCTGGCTATGGGAAACTCAAATTTGTTTCCTGAATGCAGCCCCTTGAGGTGCATTCTCCAGAATTGGACAATTTTGGGTAATAATCCTTCTGAGTTAACACAAAAATGAGCACCACTTAACTGACTCAAAACTAACAGCACTTACAAATTAAATACTTCCTAATATTTAGAAAATTGACCAAAATGAATGTCAAACTTCTTGATCTGGGGAATATTCAGTACTGAATTGATATCTGGTATTGAGGCTAGCTTAAGTTTGTTGGTTTTCTAAATGTAACACAACTGTTGTACCAAGGTTTGTTAGAGATCAAATAAGACCTTATATCTGTTGCAAATGTGTCAGCAAGAAAATATCAATAACTTGATATGATGAAATATTAAGTCTACCTAAAATAGCTTTCTCCAGATTTTGGTAACTTGAAAGTGATCCAAGTTAAATGGCAAGAATTCATTGACTATCTGGGTCACACTTCAAATAGGATAAAATATTGGAACATTGGTTGCTGGACAAATCTAAGTTTACCAACCTCTGCTTTCTTCGGAGAGGAAAACTAAAGCATATATGTTATCACATTAAATTGGAAAAACTGAGTGTAAACTCTTTACATGTAATACACAAACATAATTATGGTAAAAATATTCATAGAAAAATGACAAGAGGGAAATTCTCTAGATTTTAATGCTGACTCTCTTTGAATAGTGAATGATTTTGCTTTCTTCTTTCAAATTTTCTGCATGTATAAAATAGCCTAGGTTGGATGCATGAGACAAGTGCTCAGGCCTGGTGCACTGGGAAGACGCAGAGGGATCGGGTAGAAAGGGAGGTGGGAGGGGGGATTGGGATGGGGAATACATGTAAATCCATGGCTGATTCATGTCAATGTATGACAAAAACCACTACAATACTGTAAAGTAGTTAGCCTCCAACTAATAAAAATAAATGAAATAAAAAGAACTCATGAACATAAAAAAAAATTTATAATAGAAAAAAGCAAGCATTAGGCGAGGAATAAATCTTGCAGTGACTAATAGCATGAGATGTTTGGAATTGCAGACGATGCCAGATGCTGTTTTTTTTTGTTTTTGTTTCTGTTTTTGTTTTGCTTTAAAAGGGCAGTCATTCCTATGACTTAAACAAATTTCCCAAAGAGATCAACTTCAGCATTATAGCTCAGTAGTATCCTCCTGACATACAGTTTTGACATGTGCTTCCTTGTCAGAAAATAGTTGCCTATGATCTGCCAATTAAGGATTTCTCCTTTGTTGCCAGAATAAGCACTGCTTCAGACACTTACACTGCTGGACAGTTTCTATGCAGCTAGCACTAGAGAAAAATGCTGCTGCTTAAAGGAGATTGTATTTCCCAAGGTGAGATAATACCAACATGGATTTTCAGAGCATTTCAGGTTTCCTCCAAAACTTGCAACCACTGAAAAAAGATCCACATCAGAAGGAGCAACTTGGAGGAATCTGGGCTCAGTTACTTTACAAGATTGCTAGTGAAGATGTAGGTGATGGCAGTATTAACTAATCTCACTGCATTTATCCTTCAGTCATCCATTTATTAAGTATTTATTGAGTGCCAGATCTTGTGCCATAATTTCATGTAACCTTTAGATTATATTTGCATTGTCTTACAGTGACCAATGATCTTATTTGACCAAGTATTTTGAGACTTTTTGACTAACTTCCCAGATGTCAAATTTTAATTAAATTCCTTTTGACTTCCAGTTGACTTTAATGTTCTTTAGGGAGCCCTTAAGGCATCTGAAGGAAGAATATTGAATTAGTTTCATTTGATATGTTAAATTATATGGGAAGCATTTTCCAAGGGTGATAAGCCTTCCAAGATTATACTGTATAGGTAAAGTTTACTATATGTCCTGGTACAATCTATCAGCCATAATTCTGGTTCTACCACAGCAACTTGATTCAGCTTCTTTGTCAACACATTGTGACCAGATCTTCAACCTCGCCTTTTAAGTCTTTAATAGACAGTTAAGCTCTGATTTGCAAAATTGCTTAATCTTCAAGTAAATTCATAGGCAGGCCTTTTAAACAAACATAGGTCAGATATATCACTGAATTTGCTTAAGAATTTTTTATCAAACTGGTAGGAGAAGCAAATCTTCCCTCTCCTCGTAGCCACAATGGACCCTAAGGCTGTCTGCAGCAGACTCAGCAGAGTGACAAGACAGTCTTACAGTGACACTCACCCTTGAAGGGAGAGGGGATTTTGACTGTGCTATATGCTGGTACTTAGGAATGAACAGTGAAAGAGGACCTGTTAGCTGCTTAATTAAGTGAGTTATGAAGTACTGGCTTTGGAAAAACCTGGTTTTCATAAAATACAATAAAAGCCTAAAACCAAGGGTTGCTTACGTTGCCCCTTGAAATAGCACAGTCCTATTGAGAACAATCCCTTGGGGGCATGAAGGTCAAATGAGAAAAAGTAAGCAAATCAAGGCAAACGGTGATGCCTTTAGAGCAAAAAGAGGATGGCCCTCCATTATCAAATACCATTTTACCAGGGTCTTTGAGGCATGTGTTGTTCTTACCCCAGTTCTGGCTCCTTATCACTTTGATGAGAATAACAGGATTGGTTCCTGAGTCAACTGGTGTATATGATTATAATGGTTAGGGTCTCTGTCTGGAATATTACTGATTTTCATCTATGTTCTCCAGATGTTCAGAAGCCATGCTCCTCAAGTTACTCATGACCTAAAATAATTTGGTATATTATACTTCTGCAAGTCTGGCTACCAGACAGCACGCCTCCCCAGGCTGGTTTTCAGGCTTATTCTCCTGCATTCAGATCCAGGCTGGTTTTCAGGCTCATTGTCCTGAATCCTTTATACAAAATCTTTCTTATATAAAACTCGAATTGAGGACTTGGAACTTGGGAGTATTATAACTTGGTATCAATTCCCCAATCAAGGTATGACTATGACCCACTTCAACAGGAAACAGCTAGACAGGTTGTTGCCACATTCGCTGAAAGACTTGGGGAAGGATGAACTAGAATTGGAGGTTGAAACCCAGACACCCTAAACACAAGTTCCTCTGCCAAGTTTAAACATACTCATGTGTTATCCTCAAGACTGAGGAGAATCATAGAAAAGGGGAGAATTGTAACAGAACACAGTGAGCTCAGCCCCTAGCACAGCAGCCGTTGCTCTGCATTGTTACTCCACACCCTGTTACCAGGCAGTGGGTCCTGCTCAGCCATTGGTTGGTTCAGAGTGGGCCCTGCCCACTGGCAACCAACTGTCAGTGAACGACAGTTAGTGGTCCTGCTCAGCCATTGGTCAGTGTCACAGTGGGCGGAGCCCACTGGCAACCAATTATCAATGAACAACAGTTAGTGGTCCTGCTCAGCCATGGGACAATGCAGCAGTGGGCACCGCCCACAAGCTACCAACTGTTAAGAAAGGATGCTTAGCGACGGGTCAGACAACAGTGGAGTGGTGGTCGGTGAAGTGGAGAGTGAGGTAAAAGGCAGATCTGGGCCTTCTCCCTGAGGCCCTCCAGCTCACCTGGCCTTAGCTGGCACCCCAGAGAACAGGCTGGGGGCTGTGTCTTGTACGGCTCCAGAGCCCTCACCGAGGCCCCCCCACTAGCCTTTGAGGCAAGCAGTGAACCTCTCCCCTGTCCCTATCTCTTTGACCCTATAGCAGTGGCAGTCGGCCTGGGTTGCTGTCTGTGGGACCTGCTCTCTCCCCCTTGGGGAGTCCTGAGGAGCCTGAGGGGCCACTTGGGTTGGGCACCTGGCTCCTTCACTGATGACAGGTGAGGAGGGTCTGGGGACTTGGCCCTGAGGGAGCTACCAGCTGAGCTCTGCCTCCTCTTAGCCAGGCCCGGGACCTTGGAGGGTGAACGTTGCTCCTTGGGACATTGCCCTTTCTTATCGAGACAGAGAATAACATTTGTTTGGTAGAGACTTATAGGAATACCTCATCTGACCATGACCTGACCTCAAGAACAGAGGCTCTGACAACAAGTTCATAACAACTAACCATGTCCCTCCCTCAACTAGTGCTTTTCAAAGGGCTTTGATGAAATCTTTCAGTAACATTGGGGTTTATAGGGCATGAGCCACCCATCTCCTTGCATGGCCTTGTAGTAAACCTTTCTCTGCTCCAAACTCTAATGTTTTGAGTATTGTTTGGCCTTGCTGTGTGTTGGGCACACGGATTTGGTGATGCTCAGTGACAATCTACCCTTGCCTCCTTTGTCATACATGAATTGACCATATGCACCGGGCTGTATTTCTGGGCTCTGTCTTTTGTTCCACTGGTCTGTGTGTCTGTTTTCATGCTAGTACCATACCTGTTTGATGACCATAGCTTTGTAGTGTCATCTGAAATCAGGGAGCCTGATTCCTGAGGCCCCTTCCTCAAGGTTGCTTTGGTGATTCAGGGTCTTTTGTGGCTGCTCCTACTAAAGCTATGTGTTCAGGGCAGATGAACTACTAAGGCTATTTGTTCAGGGCTCTGTCTTTTGTTCCACTGGTCTGTGTTTCCATTTTCATGCCAGTACCATGCCTGTTTGATGACCATAGCTTTTTAGTGTCGTCTGAAATCAGGGAGCCTGATTATGAGGCTCCTTTCTCAAGGTTTCTTTGGCTATTCAACCCTTCTTTCTCAAGGTTGCTTTGGCAATTCAGGGTCTTTTGTGGCTGTTCCTACTAAACCTATGTATTCAGGGCAGATGAAAGCTCTCATGGAGCTGGTCGTCCCCACTCCTCTGAGATAGGAGGGGTGGCAGAAAGTCAGTAGCTTACCGTGGAAGTATTTCAAAATGCAACAGAAGGGAGAAATAAATGTGACTCCCACATTATAAGTGAGATTTAACTAACATTTCTGTTTCAGAGTGGCATGCATTCCAGACTTGGGGAAGGAAGCATGTTGAATTGACCGTATGCACCTGGGCTGTATTTCTGGGCTCTGTCTTTTGTTCCACTGGTCTGTGTGTCTGTTTTCATGCTAGTACCATACCTGTTTGATGACCATAGCTTTGTAGTGTCATCTGAAATCAGGGAGCCTGATTCTGAGGCCCCTTTCTCAAGGTTGCTTTGGTGATTCAGGGTTTTTTGTGGCTGCTCCTACTAAAACTATGTGTTCAGGGCAGATGAACTATTAAGGCTATTTGTTCAGGGCTCTGTCTTTTGTTCCACTGGTTTGTGTTTCCATTTTCATGCCAGTACCATACCTGTTTGATGACCATAGCTTTTTAGTGTCATCTGAAATCAGGGAGCCTGATTCTGAGGCTCCTTTCTCAAGGTTTCTTTGGCTATTCAACCCTTCTTTCTCAAGGTTGCTTTGGCAATTCAGGGTCTTTTGTGGCTGTTCCTACTAAACCTATGTATTCAGGGCAGATGAAAGCTCTCATGGAGCTAGTCGTCCCCACTCCTCTGAGATAGAAGGGGTGGCAGAAAGTCAGTAGCTTACCGTGGAAGTATGTAAAAATGCAACAGAAGGGAGAAATAAATGTGACTCCCACATTATAAGTGAGATTTAACTAACATTTCTATTTAAGAGTGGCATGCATTCCAGACTTGGGGAAGGAAGCATGATGAACTAATCCTTGGTTCAGTGGCTTAAATTTCCTATCTGCTTTTGAATTTTCTAGATACACTTTGGAGGTGCTTATATCCTGGGTCTGTACAGTTGATGCTGTCTGACCCCTGAGAGAACTCTGTGCACTTCAGAAGCACCAAGCAGGGCAAAGGGTCTGCCAGATGTGCAGTTCGAGTTTGGGAATCAACAGATCCAGTTCCAGAACCACACCTGCCAAGAGCCACATGCCCAGGGTAAGCCCTTCCCCTTTTCCTAAGCATTTCATCTGGAATCAGTTCTCTATGCACCTCTGGATTCCAAGCTCATGCTATTTAAAATAGCAATGTGCTGACACCCAATATATCTGTATGCTGATGATCACCTTTGGCTCCCCTGGGTGCACAGGCAGTGGGGCACTGGCTCCCTAGGAAAGAAAAAGTGAAACATTCTCCTGGGATTGGCCCCAAGGAGTACACAAGTTACAGGATGTCCAGTGACACAAACAAGGTCCCAGTCATGATATGCCCGCCTCCCCACACGATTGCCCTTTCATGCACAGTAGTAACAAATACAGCTTTCCTGGTAGTTCAGATGGCAAAAAATCTGCCTGCAGTGCAGAAGATAAAGGTTTGACCCCTGGGTCAGGAAGATCCCTGAAGATGGGAATGGCAACCCACTCCAGTATTCTTGCCTGGAGAATTCCATGGATTGAAGAGCCTTGTGGGCTACTATCTTTGGGGTCACAAATAGTCCAATGGGACTGAGTGACTAACACACACACAGTAACAAATAAGGCAAGGTGTTGGGTTGGAGGACTTATAAAACTCCTCCAGTACATTTGGTATTTTCTCCCCACGTAACTTCCATGTCTTTAACCTCTAGGTGCATAGATAAACAGCCTTAATACTTCCTTGCTTTCTCATTAATGCTCTTTGGCCAAGCCTTCCATTTTCACAAAAGGCTTTTCTCCCTCCCCCCAACCTGTCCTGACTCTTTTCTTCTTTTCTATATTCCAGTATTCTCCATTATAGTCCATTGAAAACACAACCTCAGGCATCTTTCGAAGATTGGGGCAGGAAAGCACAGGCTGCACAAGCTGTAAACTCTTTGTAGACCTAGGCAAAGGGTGTGGGCAAGCACACCGTTTAAGGGAGACCTGCCGTAGCTGTGGGTATGACGGCCAGACTCCTCAGCCTCAGCTAACTTATCCTTGGTGCCCTAGTTGAATCATGATGGATGCCAAGTATGTCCTATGTGTTTGGAAAGGCCGCTTTTGGCCCGCCAAGGTCTTGTCTAGACCCAGAGCCTCAGCACAACAGAAGAGAAAAAGGGCCCTTTCTCTGGAAGTTCAAATACTCTCAGTAGATGAAAAAATCAGAGTGAAAAGAACAAAGATAAAGACCCTAAAACTGTCCATGATTGAATCCATTGCCACCTCACTAGCAGCCCACCCAGAGCCCAGTGCCCCAGAAGAAGAGGAAATGACCTACATATCTGCTATTACAATGGCCTGGGACCTTCTGAATAAGAGTGGAAATTGCACTCCAGCAAGAGTCGTGGGTGATCCAGAGTCCAAGATGCAGTCTCCAAGGAGACTGCAAAAGCAACATCGTAGAAGTCATCAGGAGCCCAGTACGGGCCTACGGAGGAGTGTGAGGAAAAGGAAAAGCTCCAAATCACCCATGGTACCTTCAGAGAGGGAGGATGCCCCATATGGCGACAAGTCACAGGTGTGCACACTCGTTGCCCTGATCCCAAGCAACATGCAAACAGAGTCATCTCAGAGCCCCAGGGTGCATCCAAACTTCCCATCACTTTCAGAAGATGCCCATGAGAAAGAGGGCAAGGAAAAGGGGGACGCCTCAAAAGTTATGTCCTTGCCCTGTACAGTGAAGGAGGTGGGTGTAGATGTTAGAGGTGGATGCGTGCTTCCATCACTTACACCGGGTTTCATCCCCACTGTGCCCAAGGCTCTGGAAGAGGGGGTGCACAACACCTGCCAAAAGTCCCTGGCTGTGTACCCTGAACATGCTACCTCCTCGGGGAATGTTGACCCTGGAGAGGGCACCTGCAACTCTGGCTTGGAAGGCTCAGCAGCATCCTCCAGTGCCCCTAACCTGAGCCTGCATTATTCACTCCACCTAGCAAACAGAAAAAGGAAGCTGCAGGCCCCAGGGTGTGAGGAAGAGTGGCAAGAATCTCAACCCTCAGCTGGCTCAAAGGCTATTAAGCCCACCAGTGCCATTAAGAAGGGCGGGGGCAAGGAAGCGGGACAGCTGACAAGCATGGTGTTCCCAGGGGAGACATGTCCCATTGAGAGAGGAATGCTGGTCTGGTTTAAGTTTCAGAATCACCCATTTTGGCCAGCCGTGGTCAAGAGTGTCAGCCCAACCCAGCAGACTGCAAGGGTGCTTTTGATTGAGGCCAACATGAACTGTGAGAAGAGTGGCATTCAAGTTCCTCTTCGAAGGTTGAAGCATCTGGATTATAATGGCAAAGAAAAGCTAATGAAGAGAGCCAGAAAACTATACCAGGAAAGTGTCAACTGGTGCTTCTCACTGATTTCCAGCTACAGAGAAGGGCTTGTTAGTGGGTCTTTTGTGGGCTCTTTCCTGGACTATTATGCTGCTGACATCAGTTACCCCATGAGGAAAGCCATCCAAGAAGGGGATCTGCAGATGGATTTCCCCAAGGTGAATTATTCTGACCTGGAAGATTCTGAGGAGGAGACCTCTGTGGCTGCAAAGAGGCACTGCAAGAGAATCCTCCCTGACCGGATGAGGGCTGCTCGGGACCGAGCCAACCAGAAGCTGGTGGACTTCATCGTGAAAAGAAAGGGGGCCGACTCGCATCTTCTGGACATCGTCAAAGGCAGGAAAGAATCCAAGTGGCTGGAATCATTTATGAAGTCAGAGAGGTATGTGATCTGCGTTGAAACATACCTGGAGGACGACGATCAGCTGGATGTGGTGGTAAGCCATTTACGAGAAATCTACAAACACGTAGACAAGAAAGCACTGGCTCTGACGAGAGATGACCCAGTGAGCTTCCTTCTGGAAGTTCTTCTGCCAGAAGCAATCATTTGTTCAGTTGCTACAGTGGATGGATTGGACTACAAGGAGGCAGAAGCAAAGTACCTGCAAGGGCCACCTGTGTATTACCGGGAAAAAGAACTGTTTGATCAGAAAATCTTGAAGAAATTAAGAAAGACATCAACTGAGAGGTACAAGGCTAAACTCTCCCCCTGTGCCCAACAGGGCATCAGGCAGACTTGTCAGCCACACCATTAGCAACAATCCCCGTCTGTATGAACTGCATGATCCTCCCACTCCACATGGCATGTAAACACCTTCTGGAAATCCAAGGCCTCAGGAACACACTTGAATTCACTCTGGATCCATCTCCAGCACCTGCGAGTGGCATGGTCATCATCAGTTTCTTCTTCCCCAAACCCTCACGCCACTAACTTGTTAAAATATTGTAAACGTCTGTACTTCCCTCTACTTGCCCAGTTGTCTAGTTTTCCAGATATTTTCTCAACATGGCTTTTGACTCTACATCATATTTTAAAGGTAGACATGCATTCTTTTATTACATGAAAAACCCTTATGTCGGATACAAAGCAGCAATCGTGTTTAAGATCTAAGGCATGTTTCTTACAGAAAAGCCACATGGGTTTTCCATTCCTCCTGTGGCACATCGGTATCCACAATTGATCGGATTCCTCCTTAAGATAAGCCCTGACTTTTCCCTGCCATGCTTATCTATTTGGAATAAAAGCCCTGAGAGATGAAGCCAGTGACAGAGATGTTTCCTGTATACTAGCACTACCTTCCAATAGTTCTTGGAAAACCAGTCTGAAATCCAAACAAAGTTAACGGCTGATCTGCATGTGGTCACTGTGAGGTTGAATGAAACCTCAAAGTGTAGTAAGTTTTCTCAACCGCTGCAAGAATGTTCACCCTTGGCTTCCCTGAGATTCCATTTGTGGGAGGAGCTCTTCTTCAATGACTGAATAGTTTTCCCAAATGGACAGACTCCTGGCTGTCTTCCTATATGACAGTGACTGGATCCCCTACATGCCATTGTCTGTCCCCTTATGGAAGATGACTACAGCCATCGTAGACTCAGGTCAGCTTGTCTAGATCCTGGAGTCCAGGCTGACTGCTCAGAACCTATCCAGTTGGCATAGATTGTAGCAAAGCAGGCGCTTTGCCCTCATCGACCCATGTCCTCCCAAAAAAGGCAGTCATTTGTCCCAAACCAAGCAAGCTTGATCCTTTAACTTATTCATCAACTAGCTCCGACAGGTCTCCAGCAGTGTAAGTGCAGACGAGTAAGTCATCCCAGGCTGCCTGAGCAGTAGGTGGACCAGGAGGGTCTGGGAAATGGGTCACAGAAAAGTCTCCATTCAGCTAAACATGGTTGCTGTCAGAATACAGTGAAAGGTAGTTTAACAGGTAAATTCTGAAGCCCATTGATTGTTATCCTAACTAAAAACAAGATTTCATTATTACTATTTTATGTTTTCTGGAGAGGAAGAAAAGTATTAGAAAAGCCAGTTTATTTTGTAAAACCCAATGGGAAAATAAACATTAAAGATTTAACATGAACCTGAGTGTGGTTTTGTTCTTAGAAAGAATCAACTGTCACTGTCCCAGGTTCAACTCAGTTCAGTTCAGTCGCTCAGTCATATCCGACTCTTTGCAACCCCATAGACTGCAGTTCGCCGGCTTCCCTATCCATCACTAACTCCCAGAGCTTGCTCAAACTCATGTGCATCGAGTCGGTGATGCCATACAACCATCTCATCCTCTGTCATCCCCTTCTCCTCCTGCCTTCAATCTTTCCCAGCATCAGGGTCTTTTCCAATGAGTCAGGAAAAAATTTTAGCCCCAGGTTATGGGGATAAAATTACATGGCCATGTGATTTTTTTTTTATTTTGAAAAGGTGAGCTGTTTTGATTCACAATAAAACCATTGTGTCTTTCACCTCAAACTTCTGCTTCATCACATTTCACATTGTACATAGTTGGAATGTCTAAATAATACCCCTCCTCCTCTAGGAGGAGTTTGGCCTCCTCCTGACCCACATCACCTGCATGTGCCCTTATCCATTAGCAGTAATGGGTCTATTATCCAATGAATTTCGCATATGTTTCTCCTTAGCGCAAACAAATACATATTTACTTATTCATTCTCAGCCCAGGTCATTCAATTCAGTGCTAAACCACACACAATCCACAGCTGGGGTCCTGCACACCTGGTTACCAATGGCTTGTGGTTATCTGCTACTACCACATCACTTGTGTGTGCTTAGTCGCCCAGTCGTGTCCTACTCTTTGCGATCCCATGGACTCAAGCACACCAGACTCCTCTGTCCATGGGGATTCTCCAGGCAAGAATACTGGAGTGGGTTACCATGCCCTCCTCCAGGGGATCTTCTTAACCCAGGGATGGAACCCAGGTCTCCCAGATTGCACATGGATTCTTTACTGTCTGAGCCACCTGGGAATTTCTAAGTCCAAGGAATTTGAATATGATGAAACACTAAAATTGTGCTGTAAAATTATATGTGGAAGCTTGGAGTTGTCATCAATTCCAAAGCTACCTGGAGATTTCAAAAGCCATCTTTCAAGACCTTAACCTTGCCCATGCCCCTCCATGACCTTGATATGGCATGTTCACTGGAGATCGCTGCCACCATTGACCTGCCAGTTTCAAACGTATTCCTCAGTATCACTCTGCCACTGAGACTCAAATGCAGCTTCCAGGGTCCCACCCTTGCGAGTCTGATTTGGGGATCTGGGATGAAACACTGGCACCTGCATTTTCATATGCCACCTGAAGATCTGGATGCTGGAGGTGCCGGCAGCCCTGTTTCATCTGAGATCAGCCCCGGGATCAGTCAGTGTGTAGACTCCAAGGGGCTCCGAGCTCACTGAGCCTCCAACTTCTAGGGTCACACTGCTCAGAGCCTCCAGACTAGCCTTTCTGCTCGAGTGGTGACTGACACCCCTTCCCATCATGCCCCCCAGGCCTCCCAGCTCCTGGCCCCACCCCTGTGCACAAAATGAGGTGAGCCCAGGCACTCCGAGACTGAGGCAAGACCGAGATGGGGTGGAAGCAGAGCAGGGCTTTCCATAGCTCTTCTGAGAAAACCATAAGGCTTCTTCCCACAAGAATGCTGCAGGAGCGCTCCCTTTAGGAGGTGATGTTGGGCACATGTGGAAGGACAATCACAGCAGTGAGGAAAAGGAGCGAGAGAAGCATGCCCACCAGGGTATGGGAGAGATTGTTTCCCTGTAATCTCACATCCTAGCTCTAGCCCAAGAGCACATCTCATGATCTCCATTCTACTGATGAGGAACCAAAAAGGGAAGGGAATGGTGTTTATTGGGGTGAAACAGGTAATCTCCAAAACAAGTCAACTGAGCAAGAGAACATGTTTGAGTGAGCCCAGGTCCATATTGAGGGCAGTCACATGGAGAAGGGTGGGCAAGAGAGGGTGCCCCTTCCCCTCAGCTGAGGGCTACGTGAGACTCCACCTGAATGGGACAGACACACTGTCCTATCCAAGCCTGCTTGCACAGCTATCAGGGAGATGTCTTTACTGTGGCCACCTCAGAGTTGCAGGAAATGGGATTCCAAAAGGTGAAGAGTATTGCTGGGGGTGACAAAGCTGATAAGTGGTACGACTGGGCTTAGAATCCAGTCACATCAAACCCTGTACACTTAAACCAATGCTGGGCTGCTGTGTTTCTAGAAGTTTCTTTCCTGTCAGAATCACTTGGAGAGCTTGTTAAAGTTTAGAGTGCTGGGCTCCACTCCAGAAGTATTGAAGAGGAAAATTTAAAACTTACACCCAGCTAGAAATAACTAAATACTCCTTCTGCTTCTGTAACTCAGCTTTCTTCTTGCAAGCTCAGTTTAAACTCAAGTTTAAAGACTGATTTAATGTGATGCTCCACAATGGCATGAAGTAAAAAAGTTCTCAATGTATCTTAGGCTATTGGGGTGGCAGTCTTCACTCTTTTAACAATGGTTTTATGTTTTATTCCTCTTAATGATAGGACAGGTATCACAGAGTTCAAATTTAGGCAGGCAAGCACAGAAGATTTTTGTAATCCATGAAAAAACATCAGATGTTTGCACTGTCTCTATGCTTTATTATTTGAATTTTTCTTTTATTGTTTTTATGTGAGAAATGTATATGTTAATAAATGAAATGTGTGTGTGTGTGTGTGTGTGTGTGTGTGTGTGTGTGTGTGTGTGTGAGTCCCTCAGACATATCCAACTCTTTGCAACCCCATGGACAGTAGCCCACCAGGCTCCTCTGTCTATGGGATTTCCCAGCCAAGAATACTGGAGTGGGTTGCCATTGCCTCCTCCAGGGGATCTTCCTCACCCAGGGGTCAAACCCAGATCTCCCACATTGGCAAGCTTGTTCTGTACCACTGAGCCACCAGGGATGATACCAACATATCCTTCGGGGGAACTCAATTCAACCTAGCACAATAGACAATGGCACAGGTTAGAGAAATTATACAGAACAGAAGTATGACTTAAAATCATCGAGCTCAAATCAAAGAAGCTAATTCCATATTTCAGTCTATGATAAGAAAGAGCTGAGGAGGTTATCAGGCCAAAACCTTAACTTCCTTTATTGCATCGTTGCTCTTTGTCACCATGTGCTTGGAAATGTGACTTAAGAAACTGGGTCTTCTGCTCTTAAGTTTCCTGCTGGACCTCACAGGGGCCAGGAGTGCCAGCTGGGCTGGGGGAGCCAGTTCACATTCTTTTAAGTCAGTCCAGTCCTGCTTAGATGATGCAGGTGGGGAGAATGATCTGGACCTACAAGTTTTAAAACAAGTTCCAATACAGTTGTGCCAAAACTCTTGGATAGGAGGAGGGATACAGAAGAAAAGAATGAAGAAGAAAAGTGGAGTCTTCTGAAATTCTGAAACCTTCTAACCTTGGGACCTCGAGGCCATTTAAAGATGCATCTTGCAATGATGAAAAGCATTGCTAGGAATTAAATTAGTTTGGTCAGTGAATTTAAGGAAGGAGATCTTGTAAAGAATACCCTCAGGCCCAGGTGCTCTGTGCTGCTCGAACATAGGACACCAATGCCTACAGAGTCCTAAGGAGGTGCCCAGCACTTAGTGCTCAACAAGGGCAGCTGTGTCCCTGCCACCACCACCTATATCAGGATGCCTCTCCTCCAGCACTGACCCTTTCTCTCTGTGTGCCCAGATGGTAGCACTGGTGCCGGCCCTGCCAAACAGAGCAGCTACCCCAAGCTGTGAGTAAACAAGCCAGCAACAAACAGCCCCCCCCCCATCTCTTAGAAGGAATGCACTGAGTGTGGCGCCCCTTGCTTGTGAACAAGGAAAGAAAAGTACCCCCAGTGTGTGTGGCTCAGTTGTTTTCCCACCTGCTCCCTGGCATGCCCCTTCCAGGACCTCCCAGAATCCACTTGGGCCACTCTACCTGTCAGCCATCCATCACCCTCTGGTCCCTCTAAATCAATGAATTGGCTTGGCATGGTTTGCAGAGAGACAACCAAGGTAGGGGGAAGGAGAGAAATGCACACCTCCCACCCCTCTCAGGGG